GGGCGGGGTGCTGGGGGGGCACTAGGGGCAGGTCTGTGCAGTCTGCTGGGGGGCTGGAGCTGTCCTGCTGGGCTAAGGGAGCCAGAGTGTCTCTCCAGTGCTGCTGAGCTCCCGGCGATGGTGGGTGAGAGTGGGCCGTGGTGGAGACGGCTCCCATGGGGGTCAGCAAGGCCTGAGCCTGGGTTGTTCACGGGTCTCTGACCTAAGGCGCCTGCTCCTTAGCTGGAGGAAACCAAGGCAGCTCCGTTGCTGACTCAAGGTGACTGGAGGGCCTTCAACCTGGGATCGATGGCGGGTTTGGAAATGGGCCCCCTCCAGCCAGTCGTCCTGTGACTTCCTCAGGACAGGAGGCTTCAGGGGGCAGGTGGTCCTGTGAGGGGCTGTGGGTTGTTGGGGTTCCCTGTGGTGGCCCCGCCCAGGTGGTCCCGTGAGGCAGCTGCTGCCGCTGGGAGGTTGTGGCCGTGCAAGGGGGCCGTGGACGCCCAGCCCCTCAGACTGAGCTCCATCCAGCTCCGAATTTGAAGGGCCGTCTGGCAACGTGCCCAATGCCAGAAGAACCCATTTGGGGGCAGATAAGACAATGCCCTGTGTCGTTTGGATAACGAAGGTGACCTCCACCAGAGGCTTCCCAACACTGTGGATTTCAGATCTGAGTGGACGCTGCCAGGCGGCACCCGGGGTGTGGTGCTGGTGCCACCAACGCCGGCCGGCGGCAGGCTCCCACTATCTCATCTTCTGCCAGGGACGCCCAGGTCCCCGGTTTAAAGGCCACTCTCAGAATGCATTTACTGCTCTGTAATTGATTGATTGAGGAGTTGCCTGGTTTTTTGAAGAATGAGATGGAGGCTGTTGCTTTTTTCTATCTGGTGGCTTCAAAATGCAGGCAGCTTGAGAGGTAAAAAAGTAAAAAATGTGTATTTCATAATAAAAAATAATTTAATTAAAAAAAATGCAAGCTGCCAAGGCACGTGCCCAGGTGCTGCTGGCTCCGTGGGCTCCTGCCCCGCTCACACCCCAGGTCTCCCTGGGACTTGCGGTTCCTCTTGGGCGGCCCTGAGATCACTTTGCCACCCCTTCCTCTGCATCCCCGTCCTTTCACACTAAAAAACCTTGATGTGAGGGGTACATGGTGCTGTGACCCCAGTGGCTTCCATGATCACCAGTATGTCCAGCTCTGCAAACACACCCTTCGTGGGTGCAGACGTCGGGGCGTCCACTTAGGTCTCAGCCATGGGCCTCTGTCTGCCCGGCCTGGCCTGGGTTTGGTGGCTCATGTGCTGGGCCTTCCCCAAGGACGCCAGAAGCTGTGACCACCCCAAAGGCTGGGCGAGCAGGTCAGGGGCCCGAGCCCTTCCTCCCGGACGCCAAGGGCTCAGGGTCAGCCCTCCAGCTTGACCCAGAGGACACTCATCAGAGACGGCTCTTCCCTCCAGCCCCACAACAGGCACCTTTTGTCTGGTCCGTGACCCTGACCCCAAGGCTGGGGAGCAGCGTGAGCTTCATCAGCACCAGCTGGCCTCGTGCTGCTGGGGCCTCGGCCGAGCTCAGCCCGTGTCTGTGCCAGAGGGAGCCGTGGCCTCCTGGCCCAGCTCTGCAGTTTTCTGATGAGAAATGAAAAGCAAGCAGCTGTGAACTCAGAGCACTTGATGCTTCGAGAAACCAGAGGCCGATTATCCAATTTCTCACGTTGACCCTGGCTGCCAGGTGGCCACACAGATGACACCTGCCGCCTTTGCAGCCACCAAGGGGGCTGCTTCTGGAGGAGTCGGCCTGTGGGACTCCGAGAGCCCTCACTTTCCCAGAAGGCCCGTGCTGGGGTCTCTCAGGAGCCCCCCTTTTCAGCGTTGGGGAAAGCTAAGCCCACCCCAGAGAGTTCAAGAAAACTGCGGAGACGAAAACTCTGCAGGACCCGGGGTGGCTGAACATTTCAGGCGTGGCTTCTTTCTGCGGGAGCGCGGGGGCGACGTGGCCGGGCCAGCTGTGGGTGAGTCCTGTCTGGGCAGAGGGGGCTGCCCCTGCTGAGACCCCCCCACACACTCGGGGCGTCAGGCACACTGCCTTCGGGTCAAGGAGTAGAGAGGCAGGCCCGTCTTCTCTTTCACGGTGGTTTTGGCAAATCAGGGTCCATGAGAATATTGGGTGAGCTTTTCCATTTCTGCAAAAACAGCCGCTGGGCCTTTGACGGCTGCGTTGGCTGAGCACTCTCAGAAGTACATGCTTACACTGCAGCACAAACAGCACCCGTCCCCTGACAGGGGTCCTCCCATGAATTTAGGTCTTCAGTCCTTCAGCAAAGTTTTAGTTTTCAGGGCACAAGCCCCACCTCCTTGGTTCAGCTGTTTCCTAAGTACTTTTTGATGCTATTGCAAATGGACCGCCTTCTTAATTTCCTTTCCTTGTTTATTGTTTCTGCACAGAAATACGAGTGTTTTTGTGTGTTGACCTGTCCGGCAGCTTTGCTGAATTTGTTTATCAGCTGTAGGGCTTTCTTGTGGCTTCTTTAAGATTGTGTCATGTGCACATACGGATAGCTTTACTTCTTCCTTTCCAATTTGGACGGATTTTATTTCTTTTTCTTGCCTGATTGCCCTGGCTAGGACTTACCCTCCCCCACGGGCCTCCAGTGCCGTTCTCGGCACCCTTCAGCCCGGCCACCACCACGCCTCCAGGATTCCCACCTAATGTGGAAGCCTGACTGAGTCTCCACCTCTGAAAGCGTGCAGGGCCCCCCATTGCCCCCGCAGCCGGGCCCCAGCCCTCTGTCCCTGCCTCATCCCTGGCACTCTCCTGGGGGGACAGACGCCTGTCCCCCCAGCCTCCGCGTGACTTGCCTGTGTCCAGCACGCCAGCCTGGGCCAGCCTGCTCTGCTGGACAGCCCACCAGACTCTCAGGCACCACTGGTCGTCCTGACCCCACAGCTGTGGTTGGCAACTGTCCCCGTATGTGTCACTGCAGATCTTTGCTGTGTCCCCCCGGGTGGAAGGGAAGGGCTGTTTCTCTCCGTATCTCAGAGCTGGACACACAGCTCCTACGCATTACATGTTGAAACTGTGAACAGAGAAACGACAGGAATTTGATAAATATTTTCTAAACTGTCCTCGAATGAACAGCCTCAGAGCCTGATCTGAGCCGGCTGTGGGAGGACAGCATCCGACCGAGCACCCCGCTCCCAGGGGGAGGGACCAGCAGGCTTGACCACCACTGCGGAGGGTCTGAGGGCTCACAGGACTGAGTCTGGAAGATTCTGGCAAGGCTCCCCAGTGCTGCCCTCTGGCCGGGAGGGTCCTGCAGCCGTCACTCCAGGGAGGCCATGGGAGGAAATGAAACCGAGGTTTCGAAGAAAGAGGTTTATTATACTCGCTGAGAGGGCGTCACCATGTGCCATGCAGGGCCACGCAGGGCACGGCCAGGGCGGGGACGAGGGTCCCTCCAGTGAGGGTTTGAAAGCAGAAACCGGCTGGAGCAAGAGAAGACCAGGGGCTGGGTTTGCCGGCAGGCTCTCCATGGGGCAGGGCCTGGGACACAACCGGGCCGGCGACACAAGTGTTAACGCCCACACGCGCACGCCACACGGCGGGCCATGCACAGCCTGCCCCTCCCTCCAGGGGTAAGTCGCACACAGGGTTTCTGCCCAGGGACACGGCTGATTGCTCGGTCAGGGCTTCACTGGGGCTGGCCACACAGGCACCCCTGCCCGCTCAGCCGCCACAGCTGCTGACCCTCAGGTCCCCGGAGGAGAGCAGGTGTCCCAAATCCCGCTGTGGGCCCAGCACACAGAACAGCCTTGTCCGTCAGCCACGTGAGGACGCCCCAGAGCCTCAGAGAGCAGAGAGGCCTCGGGGTCGCTGTCTCCTCACAGCCAAGCAGCCTTCCCTCGCTCCAGCTTGGATGGCAGAAGAAAGAAGAGTGTGGGAGGAAGAGACGGGTTGAGCCGTGCTGAAGGAGAAGACCAGGCCGGACACCGTGTCCTCTGAGCCGACCCTTCTCCATGAGACAGGAGCCACAGCTTCTCATGATGGTGACCGTGCTCAGGGCGCTGAGCCCTGTGTTCCCTTCAGCTCCATCAACACCCGCCTCCTCACAGCTCTGGCCTGCCTGCCATCTTATCACCGTAGGAGACACTGCCGTATAATTTAGTGAGCACAGGTCCCCACGCACAGCGCTCTGTGGGCCGTGTCTGCGCCGTTCAGGGGACTCTCGGGGACGTGGCTGGGACAGCAGTGCGTGTGCCTGGCTGCAGTTTCGGTGGGCCGGGCCGCACGCTGTGGGGCATCCCTTCCGAACCCCGCCGGGCAGCCCCCTTCAGGGAGGGTGCCTGAGTACACAGACCTCTCGTCTTCCCCTCCCCCCATGGAGGGCCTGGTTTGGGCTGTTAGAGCCTGGGGCCTTGTAAACAGCAGGCATTTCTCCAGTTCCAGGTGCAGGAGGTCTGATATCAGACACCTGCGTGGCCGGCGGAGGGCAGTCCCCTGGGTCACTGTCCCTGTTCTGACCTGGCAGAAGGGGCGGGGGACCCCCTGGGGGCACTGACCCCCCCCAGCCTGGGGCTCCCCCCTCAGACCTGCTCACCTCCCACCATCGCCTTGGGGTTAGGGCTCCACCACAGGAATTGGGAGACACGCACATTTAG